AGGACGCTACTAGGGGCTCCTGGCATCGCTACTAGGAGCAAGGACGCAACTAGGGGCTCCGGGCCTCGCTCCTAGGAGCAAGGATGCTACTAGGGGCTCCGGGCATCGCTACTAGGAGCAAGGACGCTGCTAGGGTCTCCTGGCATCGCTACTTGGAGCAAGGACGCAACTCGCTACTAGGAGTGAGGACGCAACTAGGGCCTCCTGGCATCACTGCTAGGAGCTAGGGGCTCCTGGCATCGCTACTACTAGGAGCAAGGACGCTAGTAGGGCTCCTGGCATCGCTACTAGGAGCAAGGACACTACTAGGGGCTCCTGGCATCGCTACTAGGAGCAAGGACGCTACTAGGGGCTCCTGGCCTTGCTACTGGGAGCAAGGACAGTACTAGGGCTCCTGGCATGGGTACTAGAAAGCAAGACGCTACTAGGGGCTCGTGGCATCGTTACTCGGAGCAAGGACGCTACTAGGGGCTCCTGGCATCGCTACTAGGAGCAAGGACGCTACTGGGGGGTCTTGGCATCGCTACTGGGAGCAAGCACGCTACTGGGGGCTCCTGGCATCGCTACTAGGAGCAAGGACGCTACTAGGGGCTCCTGGCATCGCTACTAGGAGCAAGGACGCTACTAGGGGGCTCCTGGCATCGCTACTAGGAGCAAGGACGCTACTAGGGGCTTCTGGCATCGCTACTAGGAGCAAGGACGCTGCCGGGGGCTCCTGGCATCGCTAGTAGGAGCAAGGACGCTACTAGGGGCTCCTGGCATCGCTACTAGGAGCGAGGACGCTACCAGGGGCTCCTGGCATCGCTACTAGGAGCAAGGACGCTACCAGGGGCTCCTGGCATCGCTACTAGGAGCAAGGACGCTAGTAGGGGCTCCTGGCATCGCTACTAGGAGCAAGGACGCTACTAGGGGCTCCTGGCATCGCTACTAGAACCAAGGACGCTACTAGGGGATCCTGGCCTCGCTGCTAGGAGCAAGGACGCTACTAGGGCTCCTGGCATCGGTACTAGAAAGCAAGACGCTACCAGGGACTCCTGGCATCGCAACTAGGAGCAAGGACGCTGCTGGGGGATCCTGGCATCGCTACTAGGAGCAAGGACGCTACTAGGGGCTCCTGGCATCGCTACTAGGAGCAAGGACGCAACTAGGGGCTCCTGGCATCGCTACTAGGAGCAAGGACGCAACTAGGGGCTCCTGGCCTCGCTACTAGGAGCAAGGATGCCACTAGGGGCTCCGGGCATCGCTACTAGGAGCAAGGACGCTGCTAGGGTCTCCTGGCATCGCTACTAGAAGCAGGACGCTACTAGGGGCTCCTGGCATCGCTACTTGGAGCAAGGACGCAACTAGGGGCTTCTGGCATCACTACTAGGAGTGAGGACGCAACTAGGCTAGGGCCTCCTGGCATCGCTGCTAGGAGCTAGGGGCTCCTGGCATCGCTACTAGGAGCAAGGACGCTCCTTGGGGCTCCTGGCATCGCTTCTGGGAGCAAGGACGCTACTGGGGGCTGGCATCGCTACTAGGAGCAAGGACGCTACTAGGGGCTCCTGGCCTCCCTACTAGGAGCAAGGACGGTACTAGGGCTCCTGGCATCGGTACTAGAAAGCAAGACGCTACTAGGGACTCCTGGCATCGCTACTAGGAGCACGGACGCTGCTGGGGGATCCTGGCATCGCTACTAGGAGCAAGGACGCTACTAGGGGCTCCTGGCATCG